GCAGAGGAGGGAGAGCTTGTACCTGAATAAAACTTGGTCTTAAAGGTGCCACTGGACTGTTTTGGACCGGGGGGGCTGGGGGGAGCTCTGCAGCTTACCTGGCTGCTTCTTGCTCTGACTGAGGGCTGCTGGGAGCAGGGGGTGGGGCTTGTTGCATGTGCTCGCCCCCTGGGCTCTTTACTGCCGAAGCTCCGCTGCTGTGCGCTCCTGCAGGAAATGACCCCTGCATCCAAGTGTACACAGTGATCAAATTCCCCAGCCTTCTTTAAAGGGCATATCCTGCTGCTGTCCTCCATAAACACACAAAGAGCAATTCTAAGCAATCCAACTCAGAACCCTCCTCAAGTCTATTCAGTGGGGGGGGGGGGCGTGTGCACGTCTGTGTGTCATTGTGTGTTAAATGCCATCAAGTCAATTCTGAACTTGATGACCCTATGAATTAATCTCCTGCAAAATGTCCACTCATTAACAGCCTTGCTCAGGTCTTGCAATCTGAAAGCCATGGCTTCCCTTATTGAGTCAATCCATCTCATGTTGGGGCTTCCTCTTTTCCTGAATGCCTTCAGCTTTTCTGAGCGTTGTCGTCTTTCCCAATGATTCTTGTCTTCTCACAATGTGACCACGGTACGATAGGCTCCGTTTAGTCATTTTACCTTCCAGGGAGAGTTCAGCTTGGTTTAATCTAGAGCCCACTTGTTTATTTTTTTGTCAGTGGGGCTTACTCCCAGGAAAATGTTCTTAGGATGGCACTGAAACTCTTCTCAGCCTTTAGTCTGCCATAGTTCGACAGCTTAGATATCCAGCATTCACAGAGGCAAACCCACAGTGCAAAGAGGGGAATTGGCTAGAACTCTATGATCAGCTTTACATATTTATGTGCCTCACTCTAGTCTAGGCCTCTGACCAAGTTTTCACCACTGCAGTGATAGTGGTGGGTTCACAGAAAGCAGGATTTCTTATCAGGGAATGCTCAGAAGGTACTTCGACCTCTAAAGTTAAGAAGCAGGTCTCACCCAAGAACCAGGTGCCTAGTGTTAAGTATGACACTTAACTCGGAGGAACAGTTCAACAAGTGATTTCAGCTTTATTTCAGTGATAACAGCATGAAGGCTCAGCCTTGTAGGTGCTAGACCAGCTAGACAACTTCCATAGGCAAAACGGCAACTTATATACAATTCTGGCTGAGATAGCCACACCTACAATGTTGCACAACAACCAATCACATTAGGTTTGTTACATCCAATCGCAATCGTTACATAACGTCCAATCAAACCCATTCCCTCCAGAATACACACCATTGGTCAGTATTTACAATCCGCATAATGAGCTATGGTAGCTCAAGCTTTTACCATTATGTCTCTCAAGACATAACACCTAGAAACCACTCTGAGCGGCTTAGGGGAAGAGGAAGGCATAAGCTGAAGGACTGGCTCTATTGTCTGTCCTGCCAGTTAAGCTCCTCTTCACAAGGCCTGTTCTCTACAGAGGCAGGTGGTGACTGGACT